CTAGATGAGTCCAACTTGGTGAGTACACACACACACACACACGAACTACGCTGTCTCAACCACCAACAACGCAGTTACCTAACCCATTTGTCTCGGAACAAACGAGTAAAATCGTATCATATATTGCTCTTTCTTAATTAAATATAGGTGTTATTCCAATGTCTCTCATCTCTCTCTCTCTCTCTCTCTCTCTCTCTCTCTCTCTCTCTCTCTCTCTCTCTCTCTCTCTCTCTCTCTCTCTCTCTCTCTCTCTCTCTCTCCTTCAAATGAATCTCTGAGCAATATTAGATTTTTCGACATTCGAGTATTTAGTTTTGGGCGGCCGAGGGGGTAGGGAGGCGGCTAACGAGTTCAGACTCTCGTTAGCGCTTAGACGTTAGCGATCTAAGCGCTACAACAATATATCATCAAAGAGAAGGCTTTGCAATAGCTCTTCTCATTCGTTATCAACTGTAAGAACCGACGAAGCGGGTATTCAGCAGGATTAAACAAGTATATTTTACCTTGGCTCTTCCTAAAGCCTTAGTCCGTGTTATGGGCAGGACCAGATGCGACAGGGAATTCATGTACGAATAACGTGCAATGCATCTACTGCGGTTTTTTGGGTCCACTAACGAGTTAGAGGGGGACCTCATGTTCACAGGCACATTGGCTAGGGTCCCATGGACGGTCCCTGGGGGCTACACACCAAGAGGACGCCCTTGGGAACTACACACCCAGAGGACGCTCTTTGGAACTACACACAAAGAGGACGCCCTTGGGAACTACACACCCAGAGGACGTCCTTGGGAACTACACACCAAGAGGACGCTCCTTGGGAACTACACATCAAGAGGACGGCCCCTGGGAACTACACACCAAGAGGACGATCCAGGGAGCTAGACATGCAGATGATCCACAATCTTGTGACAGGAAGGGTTTCTTAGTCGTAATGGCCGAGAGTAATGTCCCAGAAGGAGAGAGTGGTGACCACATCCCTCTACAGTTGCATAAACAAATACAACAATAAATCAATGGACAGAGAATCGCTGCACTAGACGGCTATAACATCCGGAAAGGCGAAGACCATCGAGGACCCCGTCTATCCTGTCTAATATGACGGTAAGACTGTCTCCCACGTGCTAAAACTCGAGGGTCTTTAGACGGCTATGCAACAAACATCTGTTTCTCCTGTCCATTTGAGTGACAAGAAATGTAGACTATATCAGTCACGTTGATGTGCGTTGAAGCTATGAATAACATGAGTGTTTCTTAGGGTCAATAGCGTCCCCGTGACTGGATAACAGGTCCCTGAATGTGAGATAACGGCTGCTTGACGCTCAAGATAACTGGATCAGCATCCAGCGTCGATCAACCTTCCGTTGTTGGATATGATTTGAATGTTGCTGTCCCATCCCCAAGGGGAAAGTATAAAGGTAGGAGAGGAGAGGCTGACAGGAATGGGGATAGGGAGGAGGGTGGTGCTGGGCCGCATGGGAAAGGGGGGAAGGGGGGGACGCCAGGAAGGCGACAAGTGATCACACACACACGCACACACACACGCGCGTGTGTGCTCCAGTTGGCTGTGGCAGCGAACACCAAATGTTTTGTTTCGTTCCGTCCAAACACCCGCAATTAGCGAGTCATTGAACCTCGCCACCAGCTATAGATCGCCTACCCCACACCTAGTTGTGGGGTGCCGATGGGTTCAGCTCAAGCCACCGGGCCCCAGAATTAGGTGGGGTATACGATCTAAGCTGCTGACGAGGTCCTTTGGCCCTTATTTCTCTACCTTTGATTACCACCAACCAGGATCTCAAACCTATTGGGCACTGTCTTATCAGTGACACTGTCACTGTCTTGGGCTTGTCATGTCACTGTCATGTCACTGTCTTGGGCACTCGCAATTTTTGCATCATCAGCTAACATTGGGACTCATTCGAGTCTATTTCCTCCGGAAGATCATTTACATATCTGAGAAACAGGATAGGTCCACGAACTATATACCCTGTGGGACTCCACTAGTGACATCTCGCTACTCTGAGATCTCAACCCTCACAGTAACTCGCTGTATTCTGTAGTTTAGGTACTCGCTTATTCACTAAAGCGCTTCCTTGTCACTCCTGCCTGCTTCTCCAGCCTATGTACTAATCTCTAATTGAGTACTGTGTCCAAGACTTTCTGACAAAAACAACATTTATCAGTCTTACTGGGCCAGCAAACAGCCTGTGTGTGTGTGTGTGTGTGTGTGTGTGTGTGTGTGTGTGTGTGTGTGTGTGTGTGTGTGTGTGTGTGTGTGTGTGTGTGTGGCGGAGGTGGAAGGGAAGGATATGGGGTGGATATTTTGGGGGGTGGGAAAGGAGGAAGGGTGTTGGAAGGGTGAAATAAAATCCCACAGTAAAAAAATTACCAGAAAAAAAAATCGAAATATTAAATTTTTTAAATCATTCTCAAATTCCATTTCAAAACAGAATTCTGTGCGAGATGCGAATCTTGTACAACAGGAAGTAATTGAGAAAGAAAAATAAGTAACCTCAGTAAACCTTCTTAATGTTCCGAATGATTGAATTAGTTTTTTTTAAAGATTCAACAATAAGTACAACACAAGAATTAAACAATTGAGAAATATAGCGTAGTTTATCTAAGGTAGTTCAGACTACTTTACTCCAAGGTCTGGAAAGACTACCCACACACGAGGTCTAGACCCACGAAAGGTCTAGAGAGACCCCACAAAAAGTCCCCTTCAAAAAAATTGTGAATTTAATGTCGCGAAACGTTTCCAATTTTGCAAATGTACCGAAGTCGTGGTTTTTACAGCGAAGGAAGAAAACGAATTTTCTTATGATTAAAGTGATTTTCACTTGCTCTTCCGTCCCCTTATTTCTGTGTAGGCTCCCGCCCCCACCCCTCTCTCTCTCTCTCTCTCTCTCTCTCTCTCTCTCTCTCTCTCTCTCTCTCTCTCTCTCTCTCTCTCTCTCTCTCTCTCTCTCTCTCTCTCCCCCACATCACCTCATTTAAGTGAGTCAATGATCCTTGATTGGTTAGTCCTCTTTACATTTCTCTCTTGATCTTAGCGACTAAAGCAAGCATTTCTGCCTATGTTTTTTGTTTGTTTTCGTTTTACTAAGGCTTTATAGTGCTGCTTTTGAATCAGTGTAGGACACGAGCCTATTCTACCCCAATCCTGGCCTACACCAGCTTATTCTACCTCAATCCGGCCTACACCAGGCTATTTTACCTCAACTTCGGCCTACACCAGCTTATTCTACTTCAATCCTGGCCTACACCAGCCTATTCTATCTCAATCCGGTCTACACCAGCCTATTCTACCTCAATCTTGGCCTACACCAGCCTATTCTATCTCAATCCGGTCTACACCAGCCTATTCTACCTCACCCCTGCCTACACCAGGCTATTTTACCTCAATCTTGGCCTACACCAGCCTATTCTATCTCAATTCGGTCTACACCAGCCTATTCTACCTCAATCTTGGCCTACACCAGCCTATTCTATCTCAATCCGGTCTACACCAGCCTATTCTACCTCAATCCGGTCTACACCAGCCTATTCTACCTCACCCCCTGCCTACACCAGGCTATTTTACCTCAACCTTGGCCTACACCAGCCTATTCTACCTCACCCCCTGCCTACACCAAGCTATTTTACCTCAACCTTGGCCTACACCAGCCTATTCTACCTCACCCCCTGCCTACACCAGGCTATTTTACCTCAACCTTGGCCTACACCAGCCTATTCTATCTCACCCCCTGCCTACACCAGGCTATTTTACCTCAACCTTGGCCTACACCAGCCTATTCTATCTCACCCCCGGCCTACACCAGCCAGCCCCAACCACACCATGACGTGAACCTCAACTCCATAGTTGATTAGTACATGCGACAACGTATTTAGTCTTTAGTTTAGATAAACGTATTTAGTATTTAGTCATAATAGAGGATGGAAGACAATATGCCTCCAAGTGTCATTTAACTCTGAAGCATTATTAAAGTGAAGAAAATTTGAGATTGTAATTGTGAGAGTGTGTGTGGGAGTGCATCAACACGTCCAGGACTCAGCGTTATTTTTTATGCTCCCATCCCTGCTGTCGGTACACGGGAGCTGGGGTCGGTGCTGGGGTCGCTGCTGGGGTCGCTGCTGGGGTCGGTGCTGGGGTCGCTGCTGGGGTCGCTGCTGGGGTCGCTGCTGGGGTCGCTGCTGGGGTCGCTGCTGGGGTGTTGAGCTCCTGCAGGGGGGAAGGATCGAGGTGGTAACCCACAGGCCAGTGATTAATTAAGCATAATAAAGCACCAGACGATTGCTATCAGTCATTATACACCCGAGATACAAACACCCACGCCTGTAACCCGCACAATCACACACTCGTGTAAACATACAACCTGTCATACAGCGTTGACATACGCTGAACCAAATGAGAGATGTACAAACGATTTAACAACAAATGTTATTATTAAACACTTAGTGAGAGAGGTGTGAGGCAGAGTGATGGGTGATAGCCGTCTGTGTAGCTCTTCAAGAGGCCCCTTCCTCTTGCCACGACGACAGGAGGTGGGTTGTCGTGTCCTGGTTGGTGATGGGATGCCTGTGGTGGTGGTGGGATGCCTGTGGTGGTGGTGTCGTGCCGGTGGTGGGGCTCTGGTGCCGATGAAACACTGGGCATTCGGTGTGCAACAAACAAGGACTAAAATTGCATCACGAATTCACAATAATTACACAACTCGACACAATTCACACTCTCCCTTCGTCATAGAGTCACCAGGATAAACATGAGCCCATTAGTATCGCCAGTGCTTCAGTGACATTAGCCACACGTGGCCAATCACCACCTATGAATGGAGTCATAATGATTCAGGACGGCACTAATGGGGCCCCCTTGAGTGATGGCTTGGGGGCCCCCGCAGGGCACTTGTCGTGGGGGTGTGGGGGGTGTGTGGCACCTTGGTGTGGGAAGTCGCCACTGTGCCGTGCCAGGTCTGGGCATTCGGGCGTCAACAGTAGTGGCATACGCGCGTCTGAAGGTCTCCTGGAGCTTCGTCAGGCAGTGTGTGTCTTGAAGACCGGACGACCAGACGTCGAAGTCAAGCGAGCCTCGTCCCCCCGTCTCAAAGGCGTTGAAGTGTATGTCATACACTGAGATACAAAGAGACATACTCTTCAAAGTTCACTGTAAATATGATGAACGGTGAAACGAGAGGAACTCTCAAAGAACCTAAGTAGAAGACTTAGACAAATATATCTGTTTTTCCCTTTGTAAAACAGATAGGCTCGAAACCAAACGTTCTCTAACCTCTCCCGTCAACTGGACTTTTGGAGAAGTCTTTTTGTACCCCCAAGAGGCTTTCAATCCTCATTCGACAACGCACAGGATGTCGAGTCTGCGCACCTGTCTGGCATGCGTGGTTGTGGTGTGCGCTGTGGCCTGCTGCGCTGCTCAGCACTCAGCAGCCGACGGGCTGCACTCCATGCTGAACCAACTAGGTAAGTTAGCAATTGTTAAGGCAAGTTCTGGGATCGATCTTTTGTATCAACACAGGTCGAACAAATTAAATGATCCATGTAATGAATGATTTATTAAGCTTTTAAGGGCATTAAGCTTGAAAAAGAGGCAGCTTTTAGTTTCTTAAGTTCATCTCCAGAGAAAAACGTTATTGAGTTTTAAGACAGAAGGTTTTATACAAATTAGTTTAAGGCACTTTTGTTCTGTAAAGAATGTTGTCGTCATTTACCTGTGAAAGACTAACCCACCTGTGATAAGTCCAACTCTCTTAACCCACGTATGATAAGTCCCACCTCGAACTAGAGTGCACGGCGGACGTAGAGTGCAAGACCAATCTCCTGCTCACTCGGGAACCAATAAATATATTTACCACCATTCAAAACTAACAATCAAAGGTCATTAATATATATATATTTAACTCGTACTGAACTTCTATACTAATTTGATGAACAAATACATCAGTCATATTGAAAATGTGTTGGCATTTACCTCTTTGATATATTTTCTGATTTTCTGCTCCAGTTTTCAATAGAGGTTTGATTGCAGGTGAAAGCCAGAAATTTGGCGTTACAAAGCAAGCAAATCTGTAGTAAACTATATATATATATATATATATATATATATATATATATATATATATATATATATATATATATATATATATATATATATATATATATATATTATTTATATGTAATATTCCAGTCAAATATATATAATGCATTATATAGGATTGTTTGACCCCAAAGGCAGAGAAAATTAATAAGTTGGTTCAATAATCTTATTTCAATTTCAATTCTGATCCATCTGAATCAGAATGCGTAAATCTGATCTCCTGAATTTGATGATTGGTCACTCATTTTGGTAACTAGTTTTGAACATTGGTTTCCACCACTAATTTCTGTCTCATGTCACTTGTTTTTTTTATGTTCTTAAATATCTTGATGGATCAAGGATATTGTTACTATCGTTATTCTTTTTTTTGGGGGCATATTTTCTACTTGTCATATTGTGTGAGAACAAATATTTCTGTAACTCTATTGTCTTTATTCTACATATCTTCATAGCTCCTGATCCTATGTCAATTGAGTCATAACTGACATCTGTAGACTGACTCTTCCACTCCTTGTCGGATATATATATATGAAAGCTGGGGATCGATTTTTTTGTCTTTTGGTCTTGGACTTCTGTGGTTCTCAAAGGGTTTGTTTTCAGTCCATAAATTTAAGTTCATATTCTTTATTAGAAAGACCATCAGCATTGGTGAACCAGATATTTTAGCTGTTGGAGTTCTGTTTTCTGTTTGACCAGCTTCTGGTATTGGCTGAGCTCAGGTTTAGAGGGTAAGATATATTAAGGTAGTGGGGACGAGGGGAAACGGGAGTAGGAAACTTGAGAGCAATGGAAAAATGAACAGTACAGCTGAAGTCTAGTGTTAAAAAGTGGACTTGGAGAGTGGGAGATGGAGGCATGGGAGCAGTGGTAGATAGAGGCATGGGAGCAGTGGTAGGTGGAGACATGGGAGCAGTGTGAGGTGGAGGCATGGGAGTATTGGTAGATAGAGGCATGGGATCAGTGGTAGGTGGAGACATGGGAGCAGTGTGAGGTGGAGGCATGGGAGTATTGGGAGATAGAGGCATGGGAGCAGTGGTAGGTGGAGACATGGGAGCAATGGGAGGTGGAGACTGTACTCACCTAATTGTGCTTGCGGGGGTTGAGCTTTGGCTCTTTGGTCCCGCCTCTCAACTGTCAATCGACTGGTGTATACAGATTCCTGAGTTAGGGAGCGCCTGGTTACTTTAGCCATGAAGGAGTGTCTACATACATGCATGATTTAATGTGATCCTGACCCCATCGTGAAATTGCAAGTACCTCGCTAAATGCACCTGCCGGAGTTGAGCATTAGCTCTTGGGTCCTGCCTCTCAACATTCACCCCGTCCTCGCGACTCATAGATCCCGCTTTATTTTGTTTAACGTTCGTAACCAACGTCACATATTCAACCTACGAGGCTGGATTATTATTTACCGAGTGGTATAATCAAGTGAACGCGGATTAGACAAGAACTACAGGATATCAGGGTTCGATAACCTCAGCAAACCTCATCGTTCTGTTCCTGTAATCCGGATTCTTAACTAATACGTACCACACACTATGGTCCCCCAGCGCACGAAATAAGGGGTATTATGAGAAGCAGCGGCTGACAAATATCCACGTTTTCTATGCGTAGGTTAGGTTAGGTGTTTGGTTTGGGTTCGTGAGTTTCCTCTTGTTTACACCTGCTCAGGTGTAAACAAGAGGAGATTACCGCAGGTGTAAATAGGAAGAACTTAGCGCAGGTTGTAAATAAAACACAAAATGAACAGAAAGGGGTTGAACAACAGAGAAGAACAACGGCTACATACACAAACAGGAGAACAACAGATACACACACAAACAGAAGAACAGAGGGATGCATCCCCCCCAAGACGTGGCTGTTCAT